TGGGCACTAAGCTGACTGGTGGGCACTAAGCTCCCCATCAGCCTGAGCAGGCACTGACCCTCCAGTGGCCACAGGGGGCAGGAGACTAGGCTCTGACCCAACTGTCCCTTGTCTTTGGGCTAGACCCATCAGGTGTCTGGGCCTCCCCTTCCCTGTTGGCTCCGGGACCCCAGCAGTCCCTCCAGCCATGTGTGACAGTCTCTGAGAACGCAGAGAGTGGGTCACACCCTCCTCAGGGGTCCAGAGTGATTCCCTCCCACTGACTGGAGCCTCAGCACCCAGGAGGGAGAGAGGGGCCAAGACCAGGGCGGGCTTGTCTGGTCACCAGCAAGGAGCCCAGGCCAGGACAGGGCCCAGACTGTCCTCTGGCAAGAGAACTCAGACACGAATTTTCCAGTCAGGGCAGAGATTGAAACCTTGAGAAACACAATCCCACTAAAATCCCATGCTGAGACAGAGGACCCAGACTTTACTGGCCAGGCTGGGCGCTGTGACCAGGAGGCTCTGCTCTCCACTCTGAGCTTTCCTATCTTCTTTAGGAGCCTGGTCACCTGTCAGGGAGGTCCAGGGCCCTGCACGTGCGCTGGATAGAAGATGTCCTTCCCCTGCTCACCGTACTCTGCTGAGCAGAGTTAAGGGTTTGGGCTCTGGGGCGGCACCCAGGAGCATGAGCACCCTTGCTTCCCCACCCCAACCTCCTACTGTAAAGAACGAAGATCCTGGACTTCTCACCACAAGAAAGCAGGGGCAGCCCTTCCTCCCTCCCGCACACCAGGTGGGAAGCCCTGAAGAGCACTCTAAAATCCCCTTCACTCAGAAAGTAGGACCTGTGCCCACCCCTGGCCTGTCCACAGGGAAGTTAGCCCCAGGCACTGGGTGAGCGGCATCTGGGATGAAGGGGCCTCCACTCAGTTGGCTCAGAAGGGGGTCTGGAGAGTGGGAGAAGCCAGTCAGGGCCTCTGGTCAGGACGGAGTAGGGGCGTGGGGTTGGGATGCTGTTCCAGCCCAACCTGCTCATCTGACTGGCCTCTGGGTGACCCTACAAGACGTCAGATTCAGTCAGTGGGCTGCTAAAGTGACCGGGACAAAACATGGGTATTCAAAGCATTGGGTCCCAGGACGGTGGGTACAGGGCTCAGAATGGATGCAGAGGCACCTCCCATCCAGACCTCAAGCCCACCCCAGAGCCCCCTTTAGAAGGTTCTATCTCCCCAGACTCCTGTGGTCCGGATTCTGCTGCAAACCCGACCACTCTGCCCCCAGGGCCCTTTGCCTTCTCAGCTGCCTGGGACACACAGTGCACACAGGAGATGCCAGGTGGCCACCTGCTTCACTCACAGACTCATGGGTTCCCTGGTGTGGGAGACCCATGAAAAGCCCCACAAAGCAGGAGGACCCTCCCTCTGCCATGGGCCCCTCTGCCTCTCAGAAGCCACTCTCTGGTGACAAGAGACAAGACCTGAGCCCTGGGGCCTCTGCACAGGCTGCTCCCACTGCTGCACCTCCACGGAGCGGCATGCCCCACACCTGCCTCCAGCTGCTCTGATGGAAGCCTCTGCCCTCTCAGTGGTCTTTCCCTCAGTCACCCTCTCTCAGCCTGGGTGTGCCGCAGACCTGACCCCACCTCCTTGCTAGACAGCACTGCCAGTGCCAGGCACAGGATCTGGGCATGAGGGACTGACTGAGTGGAGAGACGCCCAGGCCCTGGGGGCGTTGAGCCCCAGCAGGAAGTGACTTTGTCCAAATGGCACAGCAGAGGTGACAGGGAAGGCGCCCCTGACCCGCACACCCCCATGAGAGCAGACACATCACCAGCATCCTGGAGGACACCCAGGCAGTCCTGCAGCCTGAGGCAGTGGCGCCATCATACACATCCCCACAAGGCCCTGCCGCCCCAGACACCTGTTCTCAAGCAGCTGCAGGCAGGGCCCTCCCACCACCCCAGTGGCCCAGGCTGCCCAACTCTGGGTTCCTCCGCTGGCCCGTCTAGGGAGGACATCTCCCCCAGACAGTGCGGCTGTCCCCTCTCCCCTCTGCAGAAGCCATCCTCCGCTTCTGCCTGGCAGCCCAGCCCCTGCCCTGCCTTGGAGGTGGGTGGGGCTGCAGGGCGGGGGAAGAGAAGGCATCGAGGGCCGCCCGCCACTGGAGCGCAGTGCTGGGCCCCTGGCCGTCCTGGTAGCTACCTCTCCAGCCCCCAAGCCCGTGGGCGGTCGGGGCGCTGCGTCCGCCCTGCTCGTAGGGCCGAGCTCTCGGGTTTCGGGCTATGGGCTATTTCGGGCGCAGGCAGCGCTCGCCCGCCGGGTGGCCCAGGGTCGCGCAGGGTCCGCCCGCCCGTGCCCCCGTCGCCACCCGCTCACCTGCCACCGGCGACGGCTTGCGCAGCACCAGCCACCTACTCTTCCACTGCGGGGACAGAGGACAGCCGTGAGCCGCCGCCCGCGCCCGCGCCCGCCCCACGCCCGCGCCGCGCCCTGACCTTCTTGCCGTCCCGCAGCTTGACCTGGCCTTCCACCAGCGCCGCCTCGGTCATCTTCTGTCATGGTTCCCGCCGCCCCGGGCGCCCGAGCCCAGGGTCACTTTCAAAATAGCTCTGGAGGCTTGGGCCAGCCAGGAGGGCGGGCCGGGGCGGGGCACGACACGGGGGACGCGGGGCGGGCGGGGCGCCGGGGCTCTCCCGGCCTCTCCTGCCTGGTGGGGCGTCACGTGGCCGCTTCCTTCCCCAGGGCCCATGGCCACCTGAGACCGCCCACCCTCTGGAGGCCTGTGTGTGTGTTGGACTGGGGGTGCTGCGCTCTCCAATGTCCAGAGCCATCCCCTCTCCTGCACACAGGGTTTCCAATTTTAAAGTTGATCTTCAGCCAACAGGTTTTATCCTCCCACCGCCCCCAGGGTGTCACCAGACACCCATGACAACAGACCCACCACTGGCAGCTCTGGCCCAGGACACCCTGAGTCAGCAGGCCTCCTGGGGGTGCCCCTGCGGACCCACAGGGGCTGCACTGGGGACCACTCATGTTTTTATCAAACCCTGTAGCTCCTGGCTCCACAGATCCAGTGCAAGCCACTCCCGCGTGGGTGACTCAGTGCCCTGGTCTTTCCACCCCCAGCCAAGAGCTGGCTGGCAGCTGGCCAGGCACAGAGGGCAGCGCTGCCCTGTAAAGGTCCCACCAGGCAGTGCCATCCCTGGGGCTAGGCTCTCTGAGTTTGACCCTGTGGCTCCAGTCCAACTGCCTCCAAGGTCTGGCCTGGGCTTGAGATGCCAGCCCCAGGTCTGTCTGAAGAACTTTCCTTTGGGGTCCCCGGCTGGTCTATGCTTTGGGTGTCAGCCCCTCCCCAGTAAGAGGCTTCCAATACCCAGGACTTCATGAGCCACTCCGGACATGAGGGAATGGGTGTGGGGGATGAACCCAATAAAACAGGCCCCAGGCAAGCTGCAAAGCTCCTCCCACATGCCCTAGCCAAGGCCCACCCCGCTGTGGTAGGATAGATGAGGTGAGGCTTACGGACCAGAATTGAGTGAGTCTTCATTTCATTCCATGCAGTCCCCTGGGTTAGGTACCACCTGCCTCTTCAGAGGGTACAGAAGCCCAGAGCAGCTTGGGGTCCAGTGGCCGGGACTAAGCCACATTGCTGCCCCCTTCCGGGCAGGGCTTAGACAGTGAGAGCCCCAGATGTCCCTCCCCACTGCCCTGGGGATCTGAGAGGCCTCAGATGGACCTGAGGGTTGATTTTGATGCTGCAGAGACATCTTGCTGAGGCCTAATGCAAGGAGCTGGACACCAGCCCCAGGAAGCAGCTCTGTGTGTGCCCTGTCATCCACCATCACCTGTGCAGCCACCGGCCTCCTCCCGCAGAACAGTTGCTGGGCCACAGAGCCCCATTCATGCCGCCCAGGCCCCCAAGGGGCTGGCCCAGGACAGCCGGTGTGGAGGCGGTGGCAGTCAGGAGCTGTATTCACGGACACATCCACCACCCCAGGCGCCTGGCACTTGTTCGTCCGGCAGGGAGGGGCAGAGCCCTGCTGCATTCCTGAGTGCTGGCCCTGACCCAGGCTCCTGCACGCCTGCCCTCTGCACCTGCTCCCACAAGGGCCCAGAAAATGCGGCAGCCGCAGGGACAGACAGCTCCTTCCCTCCACACTCCACGTGGCCCCAGAGGGCCGCTCTGCAGGTGCCAGGGCTGCTGGAAGGTGGGGACAGTTTCCTGCTGGGGGGAGGAGGTAACCTGGTTCCTACTCCCAGACTGGCCAAGAGGTGGCGCCTGCCCCTCTGTGTGCCTCAGTTTCCCCAGCTGTTACAGCCCCGTGGAACATTAGAACCACCTGACAGAAGGAGGCTGGACTCCTGAGTCCCCGTGGGGCAGGGACCTGCAACACTCACCCTGCACAAGACTGTGAATGCACAAGGGACGTCAAATAGAATGAAATCGGAATAGAGACCCACGTTTACATGAAGTGCAGTAACACCCCAGCACACCCCAGTCAGAAACATCATAAGGTCACCTGAGAAAAAGTCAATTACAAAAGAACAATTGGGTGTAAGGCCGATTTCTCAATAGTAGCAATGTGAGCCAGAAGACAGCTCTGGCAGAAAATAAAACTACCGATATCTCTGAGAGTAAATGATAAGAGAATAAATGCCATGAGCAGCTTTATGGGAATAAATGTAAGAAATTGGGCAGACTAATTCATAAAAGTATAACTTCCTATAACCAGCTCAAGAAGGAATAAAATTCCAAACTAGAATTCAGGACATTGAACCAACACTTACATACTATCCTGTTAGTAAACACCAGGATAGGGAATTTTATTGGCAAATTCCATCAAACTTCCACAGCTGCGGAGGCCCCATGTTCATGAGGACAGGCGGCCCTTCTGTTCATGGCTTTGGGGCACTGGCACCAGCGTCTGCCCCAGTTGCTGCCTGGGGCTGTGACCACCCAGTGGCAGGGGCAGGGGTCTTCAGTGGTGGGGGCACTGTTGAGCCTTAGGGCTCTGAGGCCCACACAGCCATCACAGCCATCAGGACAGTAGAGAGAAGGGCCTAGGCTCTGCCTGCTGAGTGCCTCCCAGGGCCTGTCTTGTTCTCTGCTCAGAACTCAGCTCTGCCTGGGCTTGTGGACCCCCAGCCCCACTGCGACAATCCTGTTTCCTGCATTTCAGCCTCCTTTGCAGCCAGGTGTGGCCCCGTGATCTCTGTCAGGGAGCCGAGACCCACAAGTCAACATTAGCAGCAGCTGGCCGCCAAACTCCCTGCCACAAGTTCACGCAGCTCCAGTCAGCTTTCCCAGCCCTGTCCTGAGCAGTGACCGAGGGCTGGGTGTCTGCAGAGCCTGTGTCCTGTGCTTACATGCATGCCTGACCATAGAGGGGATGCCATGGGGCCAGGCCTCCAGGAGGACCTTCTGGTCACAGAGCATGGAAGGGATGAGGGGTGGCACAAGAGGGGGGACCTGCAGTCCTCGAGATGCCAGCCCTCAGCCCTGACTGCCCAATCCAGCTGCCAGCCCTACCTCCTTCCATCCATTCAAAAGAGCCAGGGCTGGGGGATACTCAGCACCAGCAGCAACCCACTAACTGCCTGTGGACACCCCTTCCCTGGCAGAGGCTGCCTCCAGTCCCCTCTTTCTGGAAGGCACAGTGCAGGGAGAACTGCTGGTCACAGGCTACCATTTTGAAGGCCAAATACGGCTGCAGGTTCCATCTGGCCTGTCTTTATCGAGCTGTGATATTCTGCACACCCCTTGGCTCAGACCACTGTCCAGGACCTGGTGGCCTGTACTTGGCTTTCATTTCTTGCCCTGGGACAACCCAGGTGCCTGGACTCTGGCCACATACCTGCTGAGGACAGGCCTAGGAGGGGGTATGGGTTGGACACTACTTGGGCCCTGAGGACTTCCTGGGCTGTGGGTGGGTCCAGGCCCTCCTTGTGGGGTGACAGGTTACCATCTCGATAGAGGAAATGTCCTCCATAGAGGACCTTGGGTCCAGGCCCTCGCCAAGGCCATGGCCTGGAAGGAAAGGCCAGGCAGAGGCAGGGCCTGGACACATGGGCCGGGTCCTCCAAGCATCTTTATTGTTAGTGGGGCCAGGATGGGGAGCAGACAGGGTGTCCCTCTGGGCTCTCAGGAGGGGGTCGTGGGCCGCCGGGGAGGCCGAATCCGGTCGTTGAGCCAGTCCACATAGTTGGCCACTCGGGTGTAGACACCAGGCTTGTTGAGCCGCCCACAGCCGTCACCCCAGCTGATGATGCCGTACAGGTAAGCCACACCATCCTTCTCACAGGCCAGGGGCCCCCCAGAGTCCCCCTGGGGCAGAGACGCTGGTTAGAGCCACCTGCTCTAACAGCCGCCAGGGCCTGGCTCAGGGACACCCAAAGCAGCTCCACTGCCAGCTCCCACCCCAGACTCTTTGTCCCAACCCCAGAAGTAATCCCTGTGGACTCTCAGACGCTCCCTGGAAAATACAGAGCCCTCAAGGTGGATTGTCTGACAGGTTAGGGACAGATGCAAAGGTGTCTTGAGTAAGGGAGCTGGCCCATTTTCCTAAACCTTATCAGACAAAAGCATCTCATTTCTGGGCTGCAAGGGTGTCTGAGCACATTACTCCCCTTTCTGAAGCCCCTAGGGCTCCCAGCACACCCCATGACCAGCAGCACCCTCCTGTCCCCCAGTACACAACTCAGAAATGCCTTCCTCACCACGGATCAAACTCCTATGCAACCCTCAGGGCAAGCACAAATACCCCTCCTCCATGAAGCCCCGCTGAGGTTCCCCACAGCTCCTTGTTCTGCTGAGCTGTGTGGCCTTAGAAGAGTGATTGACCTGTCTGGGGCTTACTTTCCCCACCTCTTAAATGGGGCAAGAAACAGCTATGGTCAGCAGCTGAAACAGGATCAGACAAGCAGGGCCTTGATGACCATTGCTTGCTGGGGTTGATCAACTGACCGAGAGAACTCTGGGAAAGAGGTTTGGCCTTTGGTGCCTGGGGTCACATGGACATTCCTGACCCCCGGCTGGACAGTTGGGACCCTGGGCCTCAGTCTCCCCACTTATGTAAGGAGGAGCTTTCTCTGCCCTGCTGTGAGGAGCAGGGCACCAGGTGGCCTTCAGAAGTAGTGAGCATCTGTCCTGGGATGCTGGCCACCGAATCAGCAGGTGAGCTCTCTGCTCAGGGCTCCCTGGCTGGTCCTGCCAGGTTGGGGCCTAGTCTAGCTCTGAGCTAGCAGTTCTGAGACTCAGTCCAGCTGAGCCCCACCTGGTCCTGGGCAGGACCGGCCCTGCTCACCTCCAGCTGAGCCCCCACCTGGTCCTGGGCAGGGTGGACCCTGCTCAACTCTGGTTGAACCCCAACCCCAGAACTAGGCAAGGCTAGCCCTGTTCACCTCTAGCTGAGCCCTGACCTGGCCCTGGGCAGAGCTGGCCCTGCTCACCTCTGGCTGAGCCCCACCTGGCCCTGGGCAGGGCTGGCCCTGCTCACCTGGCAGGCATCGGACTTGCAGTCAAAGTAGCCAGCACAGAGCATGTTGGGGGTGATGTCTGCACCATACACTTCGGGGCTGCTGCACTTGTGGTCGGCAACGAGGGGGATCAGTGCCTCCTGCAGGGAGCTGGAATAGCTGCTAGTATCTGGGAGACAAGGCCCAATCAGGATAGGCACAGCCTGGGCTGGCTACTTTTCCCCTGGGTATGGCACCGGCCAACCCCAACTCACTCTCATTCATATGGCCCCAGCCTGCGATCTGGCACTTGTGTCCAGTGGGGAAAGTGCTGCCGGGCTCAGGCAGGCAGATGGGCTGGACGAATTGGGAGCGAACAGCACAGCGGTCACCCTTCTTCTTCAGCCGGATCAGGACTGCACAAGAGAGAGGTCAGAGATCAGCCTGGGCCATGAGGGCTGAGAGAAGGCTGTTGGGGGCCCGTGAGGGATAGAGAGGGACCAACGAGTCCCACATTGCAGCCTACTGGGCAGAGAAGTTGATGGCCTGGGAGACCAGGAGGGGTGGGCACCTTGCTGCCCTGCTCTGGAGCCTGGGCACACCTCCCCGCCTGGCCCTGGTGTGTCCTGGTGCTCACCGAGGTCATGGTCACTGGGGTTGAACACTGAGTACAGGGGGTACGGGATGTACTTCTCAATGCCAAACGTCTGCGTCACATCCGTTGTGCGGTTGAAGAAATGCTGGCCCAGCACCACCAGGACGCTTTCCTTAGGGGGGCTGTGCAAGGCAGGCTGGTGGCCACATGGACTTGGCCCTCCTTTGGCCACTGGGGAAATCTGTCCCCCACCCTGGCCCAGGCACCCGAGCGTTGCAGAGGTGGCCCTGGAAGGCCTGAACAGGTAGCCTCATTGGGTTGACAGCAGGAAGCTGGGGATCAGGAGGACTGAGGGCCATGGCCACCCATAACTCCCAGCACACATGGATGCTAACATGTATGCTGTCTCTACCTATATCGATACATCATGGGGGGTCTCACTGCAGGCCAGGCAAGGGTCTGCCTTGAAACTGCCCCTGAGTGTGTGGAGGCCCAGCAGGGCTCCTGTCTGCTCCCTGGAGTCCTCAGATACAGCCTCTCTGTCTCTGATCTGGGTTGCAGTTTCTCCACCTGGTGAGTGGAGGGTCACCCCTACCCTCAGCCCTCCTTCCTGTGCCCCATGCTAGCCTCTTAGCACCCACCCTGCTCATTCCATGCTAAGGAGGACCCAGGGGCCCCTGAGGAGCCTGTGGCAGGTCCCCAGTGAACAGTGCAGGGCAGGCTATAGCCTTTGGTGGGGGGGTGATTGATAGGGGCACTGGCTGCCTTTGCTGTCCCCTTCCCTAATGCCTAGGGTGCCTCCATCTGGCCAGAGCCCTCCAGGCAGGGAACTGACCCCTCCTTCTCACTGTGGAAGGGCTGGAAAGGACTGCCCTGGAATTAATGTCAGTCTTAATGTCACTGAGCTGCCCACCTCCCTGGGCATGGGCGTGGGTGGGCTTCACACCCTAGCTGCCAGCTCCAAGGCCACCCCTACTGCTGGGACCAAGCTTAGTGGGCTGGGCCTCAGTTTCC